GGGGAGCTGCTGGAGCAGGGTTGTAAATAATTGAGTCTTTGATCTCCGGGTCTCAGAGCCGACAGGGCTTTTGTCTGGAGAGCAGAGTTTAACGGAGAGCGAGAGCGGAGCCTTTGGTAAATGAGTTGTTTCGTGCCACAGCTGGGCCTGGCTGGTTTTTTGCTCTTCTGAGTGAGGCCCCCGTGTCTGGGAGGTGCCTTTTTGATCTTAAATGAATGTAAAAAAAAAAAAAAAGAGTCAAAGAGTTTATTCAAGAGGCAGGTTCTGATCTGAAGGTCTGCTTAACGTCCCGGCTTTCTCTGCCAACCTCGCTCAAATATTCTCCAGTGACTAAAATTAATTATCTTCCCTGTTTCAGACAGTTCTGTAATCACTGGCTTGGCAGTAGCTGTGTCTGTGCAAACCTCGAGGCTTCTCTGTGAGGCTTCTCTGTCTCTCCTTCACCTCATTTGCGTGGCTGAGCAGCTCTTTCATTTGCATCGAGCACCGCTGAGGTCACTCCGGTGCTCAAATTGTCACCTCGTGCTGGTCGCTCCTCTTGATTGCTGATTGTTCCTCTCCTGATGTGGGGGGATCCTCAGCACTGCTTGGGGGGTAAAGAACGGGATAATTCCATCCCAGGGAAGGAGGAAAATGCTCCAAGGTGTTTGTTGGTGCTGGAGAAGGTAAAATCCATCTCCTGAGGAGCCAGGCTGGGAGAGCTGGGGGGGATTCACCTGGAGAAGGGAAGGATCCAAGGAGAGCTTGGAGTCCCTTCCAGAGCCTGAAGGGGCTCCAGGAGAGCTGGAGAGGATGTGGGACAAGGAATGGAGGGACAGGGCACAGGGAATGGCTTCCCACTGCCAGAGGGCAGGGAGAGATGGGAGATTGGGAAGGAATTGTTGTCTGTGAGAATGGTGAGGGTCTGGGCTGGAATTCTCAGAGGAGCTGTGGCTGCCCCTGGATCCCTGGAGTGTCCAAGTCCCTTCCCACCCAAACCAGTCAGGGATTCCATGATCATGGGTGGAGTTTCCATCTCAGGTTCATGTGATATCTCCAGGTTTTCTCTGTTTTCCTCTCTTGGTCTTCAATTACAAATAATTCCACTTTTCCTGTTCTGCAGTAAAATTGTTTTAACCTCTTGTGTTTGAGCGTCCTGGAATCCCAGGATGGTTTGGGTTGGAAAGGGCCTTAAATCTCACCCTGTTCCATGGGCAGGGACACCTCCCACTATCCCAGGTTGCTCCAAACTTCATCCAACCTGGCCTTGGACACTCCCAGGGGTGGTGCAGCCGCAGCTCCCGCTATCCCACGTTCCTCATCCTGAAACCCCTCCTCTCAGAGCTCGAGGAATTTGCTTTCCAAGCTTCCAGCCCACTTGGATAAAGACCATTCCCTCTTCCCACCCTCCCATTCCTGCAGGAAACGTGGCTGGATTTCTGTTGTTCTGAAAGATTAAGCTCAGGCAAATCCGTCCTGTCCGTTACGACGATGGATTCCCCAACGGGATACCGGGACTCACAGGGATTTGGGGGAATGAAGTGGGAGATGTTTGACATGAAAAAACAGCCCAGGACAACAAGTCCCCCCCATTCCATTGATTTTTTTTTCCAAACAGGCCCAGCAGGAAAGGGCTGTCCTTGACCCCGCTGGTTTCCGACGGGATTGGGTTGGTTCTGCCTCAGCGTTCCAGCGGCCCTTCCTCGGGGCTGGAAGCCATCCCTCCTGGAGAGAGGGAGTGAGGGAAGCTGAGGACCAGCTGGAGGGAGGGCACAGAGCTTTTTCTAGGAATGGAGCAGGATTCTATTCCAAAATATCCAGAAAATTTTCCGGAGCCGAGCGACGGCAGCATCGGTGTCATCATCGTGAGCTCTGCGTGTGATTCAGCGGCCAAATTACCCCTGAGAGCATAAATAGGGGGAAAATGGGATGGGAAAAGGCGGATGAGATTCCAGCTGGATGCAGGTGTGGGGTGGCTGCTGGGCTGTTTTTGGTAGCGAGGGCGCCAGAAGTGGGAGATGGTGCTAAGAAAAGGGATGGGTGACGATGGAAGCGCGGGAATGCGGGGAGTGTGGATGTGACAGGACTGGGAAAAAGGGATGAGCTTTGAGGTGCCTTCCCACCCAAACCATGCTGGGAGTCTGGGATGAAGGACATGCAGGTTACAGTCCATTCAGAGGGATTTTTGTGGAATCTGGGGGTGGAAAAGGCACAAAAGGGGAAGGGAGACCCTTCCCTGAGTGCCTGAGATTCCCAGGGAACCCCCCCTTGTTCCCGGAACTCCTTCCCAGAGAGGAGTTGGGCTGGGCATGGATCCAATGTCAGGCTCTGGATCCAGGCTGGGAGAGCTGGGAATGGCCAGGCTGGAGCAGGGAAGGATCCAGGGAGAGCTGGGAGCCCCTTCCAGAGCCTGCAGGGGCTCCAGGAGAGCTGGAGAGGGATTTGGGATCAGGGCCTGGAATGGCAGGACACAGGGAATGGCTTCCCACTGGGAAAGGGGAGATTGGGGTGGGAGATTGGGAAGGGATTCCCGGCTGGGCTGGAATTCCCAGGGAAGCTGTGGCTGCCCCTGGATCCCTGCAGTGTCCCAGGCCGGGTTGGATCCTCTGGCACGGTGGGAGGTGCCGGGATTGGATTGGGATGATCCTTAAGATCCCTTCCCACCTAAACCATTCCAGAATTCCATGATTCAAACACTTCCTACACCGAAATGTTCCCTTTAGGAATGGCAGTTTTCCTGTTCTTTGTCTCTGTAAACCTCTCTCAGATCCCGACTCTACACGGAGATCTTTCCAGTTTGATTAAACCTCCCTAAATCCACGTGTGTCCTGATGTAAACTCAGTATTTAAGGGATATTTATCCCATATTTCCTGCCCTATCCAGGTCTCTGCATTCCATTTGACGGGAATGGAATATCCCTTGACTGGGGACAGGGAAGGAGTTGCTGGTTGAGCACCAGAAAAACTTGGGAACTCGATGTAAAAATGGGGTTTCCTCTCAAATTTAGGGTTTCATTCCTTTGTGTAACTCAGCTTTGGGCTGAGGAATAACCATCAGTTCACCTTTGATGGGCCCTGCTTGGGAATTCCTTCTGGAAAACGGCAGCTGAAAACCTGGAGAAGCTTTTCCTTCTGGGTTTGACCTCAGAACTGCTCAGATTTCTGCCCTGGGGTGTTTGTTTTTAAAGGAAATGTCATTGCTCCTTTTGCAAATCGGAGAAATTAACATTTAAAGTTTGGAATTGGAGCAAAAACAGCGGAAAAATCCATTTTCTCCCATTTTTCAGGCGGTGCCGGAGTTGTGTTGCCGGAATCCCCTTCCCTGGAAGTTTCACTGTCACACTCATCTGTCTTTTTTTTCCCCCAGAAATGCCACTTCTGTCACTTTATCTGCTTGGACTTGGCCTTTATTTTGCTCTTCTGCTTCTTTTCAAGCCACGTTTCTCCTTCCAGCAGAGCACTGGGCAACTCCATCTTCAATTTTCCCATTAAAAACCCCGTCGGTGCCCTTGGGCAGTTGTTGCATTTTAGGGTCTTTTGGTGCCCATTAAAAGCAGCATTTTTATATCCTTCCCATAAATTTACTTTGGGGGTGAGCATAATATTAATATTAATATTACCCCTATTCTACTCCTCTTATGCTTTTTTTTTTCACCCCCTCTAAGCCAAAATTTCTCTGTAATTCTTGCAAATCACGTCTCCCAAAGTGGGTGTTTCGGAGCCTGTTAATGAATCACACTTTGGCAGTGTTTGCCCTGACGTGATAAACAATTGTTCTCTCGGCCTGTCAGGTTATTGAGCCACAAACTTGGAGATGTTGTACATGTTGGGGTTTTTTTATTAATTGTTTTCTTCTTTTTAAGATGCATTTTTGTTTGTTTGTTGACAGCCCTTGCAGCCTGTCCCCCCTAAAAATACCTCGTTCTTTATGTAGATTTTAACAGCCTGAAGTGAGTTAATAACTTGTTTTAAGTGAGTCTGAGCCCAGTTGAGGTTTTTTGCTGGTTTTTTAGGGCTTTTTGGTTGTTTTTTTATTAATTTTTTTTGATGCAGTTCTGCTCCACCGCGTCCTGATGGAGGTGGCAGAGCTTTATTTCCATTCAGAACTTTCCAACCATCCCCAGAGCTGGAAAATGGGATGATGAATCTTTGGAGGCACCTAATAAAGAGCTGAACTTAGTCATCCTCGTGCTCCTGGGGTGCAATATCCTGTCAGGGATGGGCACAACATCCCTCCCTTCCTCAAGGTGTCCTCTTTTCAGCAACATTTCATCTCAATACCTGGATCATCAACGGGGACCGTTAAGGAGACTGATTTCCCTCTCAGACTTGTGGCTGTTCATCCTGGCTTGGGGCTTATCCAGGTTATCATCCCTGCACTTTCCAAAGGAGAAGCTCCCTTTCCCTGCTGGAAATCTTCCCCTCCTGTGCTGCAGTCCTGTTACACAACCACCTTCTCCCCCAAGGAAGGAGAGGTGCTCGAGGGAAGCGATTCCTGCGTGGAATCCTCGCTGTTGGTGCCGTTGATTACGTGGATCGAGGGTTTCCTTCGCTTCAAAGGCTGCTCTGGGTTCCTTTCTCCCTTTGTTTTACTCCCTCTCAGGTCACCAACTCACTCTTTTGTCATCAGGAGTGGAGGGGGTGTTTTTCCTGCTACCTGGAGCGATTAGTCTTTGTGTAGAGCTAAATAAATAATAATGATCAATGGCAGAGGAGGAGGAGGAGGAGGAGGAAAAAGGGTAGCAGCGAGTTTTGTTTCATCACTAGACTCTTCCAGCTCGCTCCCAAAGGGAAGGGGATGGTGGGATTTTTCCTGGAGAACCTTGTCCACCTGGTGTCCACCCCCCCAGGGCTGCCACACTCCAGTTCTTTGTCACACAGAGCGACCCCCCCTTTCCCCCCTAGACTCGTATTAATGTGTTTGGGAATGGCTTCATCCCGGCCTTGCCGGGAGGTGAAGGGAACTCTCACCTGGAAGATGCTGGAAAGCCCTTCTGAAGTTCCTCAGTTTTTTTTTCCAGGTACTCCGAGCGGAGCCTGACCAAGTGCGTGGGGATAACGATCGAGACCAGGCCGGATTATTGCCTGAAGAGGCACCTGAGTGACATGCTGTGCTACGGCTGCACCAGGCTGGAGATCGGCGTGCAGAGCGTCTACGAGGACGTGGCCCGGGACACCAACAGGTGAGGGGAGAGAGAGACGTGGAATCCTGGAATGGTTTGGGCTGGGAAGGGACTTAAAGCTCGTCCAGTTCCAACCCCAGCGCCTCCCGCTATCCCAGGCTACTCCAAGGGAATCCAACCCAGCCTGGGACACTGCAGGGATCCAGGGGCAGCCACAGCTTCCCTGGGAATTCCAGCCCAGCCAGGAATCCCTTCCAATCTCCCACCCCAATCTCCCCTTTCCCAGTGGGAAGCCATTCCCTGTGTCCTGCCATTCCAGGCCCTGATCCCAAATCCCTCTCCAGCTCTCCTGGAGCCCCTGCAGGCTCTGGAAGGGGCTCCAAGGTCTCCCTGGATCCTTCCCTTCTCCAGGCTGAATCCTTCAGAGCTTCCAGCATCCAGTGGCTGCTCCTTCAGGCTGGGTCCTTCAGGAACACTCCTGGGAATACTCTGTTTCCTTGACTAATCCCCATTTAACAGAGAACACTGAAACATTTCCCTCATTTTCGTGCTTTGGTGGCCACGTCTCTGTCAAGAAAAGTTATTAACCTGCATTTTAACGCCTTTCTTTGTGATGCTGTGTAGAGCAGGGCTCAAGAAAACGGGGTTGGTGAGGTTTTATTTTCAGATAAATTTATTTGCAAGGGGGCCTCTGATTTATTCCCTGTCATCCTGCACCTGTGGCCAAAGGAAGTGTTTTCCCTACACGGGAAAACGTGGAATGTTTTGCTCCCCCCAACCCCTGCCAGGCAGAACAAGGCAATCTCTCCTCTCTTTATTTATTTATTGCCAGCCTGATAATTCTGCTGGCATTTCAAAATGAGGGATTTTTTCACTGGTTTGGGGTTTTTTTGTCCCCTCAGTTTGACTCATTCCCTCTTATTCCAAATTCCCGTCGCTCCCAACGCCGTTTCATCACCCCAATCGCAGAGTCCAACGGGCAGAGCACATTTTTTGGAGTTTTCCAGAGGAAAGGATCCATCCTAAGGAATGTTCTTAGTTCCTGGCTGCCATAAATTCATTTAATTCATTTCACAATTAATTTCCCTTCAGCTTTTGTACCTTTTTCCACCTCAAGTGTGGGGTCTTTTCCACCTCAAATGTGGGGTCTTTTCCACTCAAATGTGGGGTCTTTTCCACCTCAAATGTGAGGTTTTTTCCACCTCAAATGTGGGTTTTTTCCACCTCAAATGTGGGGTCTTTTCCACCTCAAATGTGGGGTTTTTTCCACCTCAAATGTGGGGTCTTTTCCACTCAAATGTGGGGCTTTTCCACTCAAATGTGGGGTCTTTTCCACCTCAAATGTGGGGTCTTTTCCACTCAAATGTGGGGTCTTTTCCACCTCAAGTGTGGGGTCTTTTCCACCTCAAATGTGGGGTCTTTTCCACCTCAAATGTGGGGTTTTTTCCACCTCAAATGTGGGGTCTTTTCCATCTCAAATGTGGGGTTTTTTCCATCTCAAATGTGGGGTTTTTTCCACCTCAAATGTGGGTTTTTTTCCACTCAAATGTGGGGTCTTTTCCACCTCAAATATGGTAATTTATAATGGAATTCTATTTTATCTCAGAACTCTATTTATGTAATATATAATACAGAAAAGATACAACGTATTATATAATATATAATGATATCATATATGTTATATATGATATTAGGATTCTATTTTATCTTAGAATTCTGTTTTATAATTGTATTTATGGATATATAATATAGACAATATGCAACATATATAATATATAATTATATATTATATGTTATATATTATCTGTTATATATTATGTATTATAATTATATATTATATAGTATATATTATATTAATATTCTATTTTATCTTAGAATTCTATTTTATATTTGAAATGTATTTATGTAATATATAATATAGACAATATACAACATTATGTAATATATAATTATATATTACATAATGTTGTATATTGTCTATATTATATATTATATATATTATTATACATATATATGTATATATACATATATATGTATATATATTATACATATTATATATAATATGTAATATATAATTATATATTACATATTATATATTACATTAGGATTATGTTTTATCTTAGAATTCCATTTTATATTAGAATTATATTTATGTAATATATAATATACGCAATATACACCATATTATATATAATTAAATATTTTATATATTATATATTACATTAGGATTGTGTTTTATCTTAGAATTCCATTTTATATTAGAATTCTGCTGCGTTTTTCAGAGCAATGAATCGAAACCCACTTGGATTAAAAAAAAAAGGTGATTCGAGTTCCTCTTCCTTTTAAACGACCTCATTTTGCTTCTGCACATTTTTTTTTTATTATTATTTGGGCTTTCAACTTTTTAATATTTTGCTGGTAGCAAAATGTCAGATTACAACCAATTAGGCAAACTGTTGGGGGAAATTACTTTCTATTATGTTCCAGAAGTCATTAGTGAGGTTGGTTTTTTTTTCTTCTTTTTTTTGGGTTTTTTTGGGGTTTTTTTTTTTGAAGTGCTTTCGGTGGCTGCGAGGCAGAAAAATATTCGAGACCAGATCGAATAATCGAGTTATTGATGCGGCTCAAATTCCGCTCCTAACAAGAAAATAATTTTTATTTATGGAGCGAAGTCTCCGTTTCTCCCCCTCGGGCTCCTCGAGGTTCCTGAGTAATGCTGTCCTTGAACAGCCTTGGAAAAACACGGTGGCACTTTGTGAAAAAAAGAAAAATCATAAATAAAACTGTAGGGGATAAAAAAATAAAATAAAAAGCTGCGTTGAGGGAAGGAGTGGAGGTGGAACCTTCTGGAAGGGAGGAAGGGATTGATCCCTCAGACCGGGGAAGCAGCTGCTGGGTTGATTGAAATAAAGCCTGGGTGTCCCATCCTGTGTGAGAATCGAGTGTAAATGAGCGGGTTTGGGACTGAGGTTGCTCAGATGGTGTTCATTTTTCACCCAAATTTGGGGCTGTGGAGGAGGAGGAGGAGGGGGAGAAGAGTCACGTCCTTGGAGCGGGGAATTCCAGAGGGTGGGAGGGGGAGTGTGATGGGAAGCAAAGAGGGGTTGGAGAGGGAAGGTCAGGGGTGCTGAGAGGCTCGAAATGTCCAGAGAGATCCAGAAATATCCGAAAAATCAGCCAGTGTTGGGAAGAGCCGAAGCCAGGACTTTGTGGGAAGGCTGATCGCTGTGGTGGGAATTCCACAGTGGGTCTGGAGCTGTGGAGGTGGAAGGAGAGAGGAATTTACTCAAGGATAATGAACCACAGGAGGCTCAACCTTTGCTGCTGCTGTGGTTTGGGATCCAGGTCTCTCCAAGCTCCCAAATCTGAGCTTGGTTTGATGTCAGGACGTGGAATCCTCGAGGAATCCCGATCCAACCCGTGTTTTGGAGCCGAGAAAGTTGCTGTGTCTCTAACAGGAGTGCTTGGGAAGATGTTTTGGGATGGTTTTCCAACTGGCTGGTTTTCCTGACCCTCCTCCTCCTCCTCTCCCTGTTGGTTTTTGTCTCTGGTTGTGCCTCATCCTGACTATCCACAACCATGGCTTTCCCAGTCGGATTCCAGCAGCTCTCCCCAGTTTCTCCAGCTGGGATTTGAGCAGCTGGAACCTTGGAGTGGCTCAAAAGCAGCAAACCTTTAATACTTTCATAAAAACCACCTTTTTTTTTTCCCCCCTCGTGGAGTTCCTTCCAACCACGCTCCAGGCTCGACTTTCCCAGAGCGCAAATCTCAACCAAACATCTCCAAAATGTCTCTCCCTGCCTGACCCTGGATCTCTTCCCTCTCTTCCCAGAGGCCACACGGTGAAGGCCGTGTGTGAGTCCTTCCACCTGGCCAAGGATGCCGGATTTAAGGTGGTGGCCCACATGATGCCCGACCTGCCAAACATGGGCCTGGAGAGGGACATGGACCAGTTCGTTGTGAGTAAAATTCCCTAAACCGCCCCCCCCCGGGAATTTCTCCGCGTTTTCCAGCTTTTTCACCCAGCTCTTCCCCTCCTTTTCCTCAGCCATTAGTTTGTGATCCAGCCCAGGCTTGTTTCTTAAGGACAAATAATTGAAAAATCAATTATATTTTTTATTTTTTTTTGGTGAAAAGGTTGGAGGGCGAGAAAAGATTTGTTGAGCTCCTTCATCCAGAAAATTATATCCCTGCCTCGTGAAAGCCTGAGTCACCAGGGTCCCTGTGGAATATTGCTCTTCCCATATTAACTGGGGCTTTTTTTTTTTTCCCCGAGTTTTCTTCCTTGGGTTTCCACAATTGCAAGTTAAAAAGAAGGCAGTGAATGGCAAAACAAAGGGCACAGGTGTCGTGAGGCATCTCCACGTCTTCGTCAAGGGTGTAGAAGGAAACAGAAAGTGATTCCTGGAGAGATGGAAATGAGGAATGAAGTATAAACAGTGCAGGGAATCAACCACTTCAGGGGGTAGTTTGGTAGAGTTTCATTATTTCTTCTCTTTTTTGTTTTTTGGGGTTTTTTTAAGTCCAAATCGGTCACGATTTTAAAAACGACGCGGAAATCGGGACGCTTCCCGAGGGGTTTTGTGCAGAATTCCCGAACACCGTGAAGTCCTAGCACTTCCCAAATCCTGTGTTTGTGTGCCAGAATAAGGGACTGGGGGCAAAGGGATGTGCCCAAACCCAGAGGTGCAGTGAGAACTCAAAATTCCCTCCTCCTGGATTATTTTCCTCCCAAACCGTAGGGAGCGGAGCGTGGACACGACGTAGGATTTCCCAGCAGTTGTTCCTTAGGATTTCCCAGGAGTTGTTCCTTAGGATTTCCCAGGAGTTGTTCCTTAGGATTTCCCGGGAATTACTTATGATGCTGAACCTGAGAATCCCTCCTGGATGTCTCCTGAATTTCCAGCTGGTTTTATGTGGGGTTTTATGTGGTTTTATGGGCCTGCCACCAGCGAAGTGGTGACAATTTTGGGGCATTACAAGAGCCGATAACGACCAAAAGATTTAAAGAGCCGAGCCTGGGGCAGAGCCAGGAGGGAGGAGAGAGGGGTCTGAGATGCTTGCAGGGTTTTCCCACTGGGATCCCAGGAGAAGGAGCTGCAGGGGATGAGAATGGAGAGGTTGTGGATCACTGGGACATGTTTTAAGATGGAATGATAAACAAGGGACTTCTTTTTACCCCCTCCTTTGCTTTCTCAACCTTTAAAAAAGAATAAATATTTCAATTAAAGTAAGTATATATAAATTAAAATAATTAAATTAAAATAGTTAAATAAAAATTTAATTAATTAAAAAATAAATAATTTAATTTCTAAACATCCTTTGGCTTAAATATGAGAGAATAAGGAGTAAAAACAATCCATTCTTTTATTAACACTTTTTTTCTGGTGCACAGGGCTGTTCAGCAGGCTAAAATTCCTTCATTCCCAGGGATCCAGCTGATTTGGATCCCAGCACAATCTGTATTTCCTACTTTAAAATTTCCTATAATCCTTTTGGGTTATTAGGACAACTTGTTTCTGTGTTGTGCTGTATAAATATTAGTCCAGGCTGGTAAATATTTCTAGACATTTCTACTGGATAAAACTGCTCCTTGTGCAGGATTCTCCTCCAATGTGGCATCTCCTCACAGTCACGGAATGGTTTGGGTGGGAAGGGGCCTTAAGGATCATCCAATTCCAACCCCAAACCCTCCCACTATCCCAGGTTGCTTCAAGGGAACCCAACCTGGCTTTGGGCATTCCCAGGGATGCAGGGGCAGCCACAGCTTCCCTGGGAATTCCAGCCCAGCCGGGAATCCCTTCCCAATCTCCCACCCCAATCTCCCCTTTCCCAGTGGGAAGCCATTCCCTGTGTCCTGCCATTCCAGGCCCTGATCCCAAATCCCTCTCCAGCTCTCCTGGAGCCCCTGCAGGCTCTGGGAGGGGCTCCCAGCTCTCCCTGGATCCTTCCCTGCTCCAGCCTGGCCATTCCCAGCTCTCCCAGCCTGGATCCAGAGCCTGACATTGGATCCATGCCCAGCCCAACTCCTCTCTGGGAAGGAGTTCCGGGAACAAGGGGGGTTCCCTGGGAATCTCGGCACTCAGGGAAGGGTCTCCCTTCCCCTTTCCTGCCTTTTCCATCCCCAGATTCCATAAAAACCCCTCTGAGTGGATTCTGAGCGTCCTTTATCCCAGACTCCCAGCATGGTTTGGGTTGGAAGGGACCTTAAATCCCATCCCATTCCATGGGCAGGGACACCTCCCACTATCCCAGGTTGCTCCAACCCGGCCTTGGACACTACCAGGGATCCAGAGGCAACCACAGCTTCCCTGGGAATTCTATTTCAACACTCCCAAGGAAGAATCCCTTCCCAATCTCCCATCTCTCCCTGCCCTCTGGCAGTGGGAAGCCATTCCCTGTGTCCTGTCCCTCCATTCCTTGTCCCCAGTCCCTCTCCAGCTCTCCTGGAGGCTCCTTCAGGCTCTGGAAGTGGTTCCAAGCTCTCCCTGGATCCTTCTCTTCTCCACCCCCAACTCTCCCAGCCTGTCTGAAAACACCCTTGCCTTTTTGGGACGAAAAGACACCTTTGGCTTATCAGGAATCTTTACAGATTTTTGATTTTTAATTCTGAATAAGCTCGGGATGAAAAAAAAAATCCCTTTTTTTTGCTGTTCCCGTCTCCTTCCCAACCAGGGACAGGGACAAAGGGAACCTGGTTGACTTTAAGAGGAGCTTTTGAAGCACCTTTGCCTTCATCACCAGTTGATCTATGAATTCCAGGGGCTCCTCCTGGGAAGGCAATAACCTGCTGATTGTGCTGACCGGGGACTTAAAAAATCCTGGGTGCTTCTTCAACTTGAGCAGGTAATTACAGTTCCAGGAGCCACGTTTGCCTCTGTCCCTTCTGACCTATTGATTTCCAGGGTTTTTTCCTGCTCCTTCCATCCCACAGGAAAGGGGGGCCCAGCACTTCTTCTTTTGCCAGCACATCAGAGCTCTCTGGGTGTGGGGTCAGCAACTGCCCTGCTGATGTTTTTTTTTATTATTATTATTTTCGCTGTTTATTATTATTATTAATTATTATTATTGTTTTATTATTTTGGCTGTTTATTATTATTATTTTGGCCTGGGGAGGTTGTGGATTCCATCCCTGGAAGTGTCCAAGGCCAGGTTGGAGCAACCTGGGATGGTGGGAGGTGTCCCTGCCCATGGCAGGGCTTGGAATGGGATGAGCTTTAAAATCCCTTCCAACCCAAATAATTCTCTAATTCCATGATTTTTTTTTACAGTAATCTGGGCTAGTGGGAGGTGTCCCTGCCCATGACAAGGGGTGGAATGGGATGAGCTTTAAAATCCCTTCCAACCCAAATAATTCTGGGATTCTGCGATTCCATGATTTTTTTTTCCAGCAAGTGGCGGGTGAGTGGCTCTTTCTCCACCTCCACCATGAAGATTATTCCAGTTGCATATACAATTATTCCAGTTGCATATACAATTATTCCAGTTGCATATACAATTATTCCAGTTGTATATACAATTATTCCACTTGCATATACAATTATTCCCCTTACACACACAATTCCTCCAGTTATATATTCAATTATCACAATCAGGGCGGATGTTCCCTCCCCGTGTCCCAGTTCTGCGGGGCTTTTTTCCCTCCACCTTATTCCCCCCTCCTACCTCTCCTCCCCCCCCACTTCTTATGGATTCTTTTTATAACCTCAGAGGATTTCCTTTCCACTTCAGGTCTTCCCACCCCACCCCATCCCACTCGTGGGAAGAGGCTGCAGGGGAGGGAAGGAGGGAACACGCTCCGCCCGTGCCAAGCATTCCCCCCGCAAACAAACCCCGCTCCTCGCTGCTGCCAAACCATCAGCCCCACTTTACTCCCAGGGCCTCCTCTCAGCGGGTGGCCGGGGGAAAATAATTAGAAGCAAAGCCGGAATAAATCAGGAGGCTCAGCGGGAATGACGGAACGGTCGGCGGAGCAGACGCCTCGCCCCGCGGAACGGGACGAGCACCGCGTGGCTCTTGAGAGATGGGGGGGGGGGATTGAAATGGTTGGTTGGCAGGGAGCATGAATCACGCTTGCCAAAAGTGGGGGCTGCCAAGCAGAACTTTGGGATTGAAATTGGGGGGGGAACTTTGGGAAGGCCGGAGAATTCCCGCGGCGCCGGCGCCGATTCCCTCGCTCCGTGTCCGCGCAAGAACTGACAGCTGCTCTGGTGTGACTCTTCCCAGTCCTAATGTTCCTAATGTTCCTAATATTCTTCTTTCTTCTGGGATAAAAATGCCCAAGCAACATATTTATTAGTGGAGAAGGTGTTGCTGTGTTGACCCTTTTGTTTTATTTTCGGGGTTTTTGCCTGAGCGCGATTTGCTGTCGCTCTTCCTCTGGATCCTCTGGGTAGGGCTCCAAACCCCTCTCAAACAGCTTCTAGGACCCCCTCATAGGTTAAATTAATCTGGGAAGCATTAAAAAAGAGAGGAATGAGCCAGAAGGTTGGGAATTTGGAGCATGGGAAGTGTCGGGGCTGGCAGAGCCCCGCTGGACGTTCCCCAGAAACATCAGATGGGCCTTCAGATGTTGAGAAACTCCTTGAGGAGATCCTGCGGCCTCCCTGTGTCCACCTGAAGCCTCCCATGAATAAAACCCCCCATGGTGAAACTTCCAGGCCCATGGAATGGCGCTGGAGCCAAAAATCGGAGCGGGGAGATTTTTCAACCCCGTTCAGCCGAGCCTCTCTTTGTGCTCCTGAAATAAATCGCAATCACCCGATGATTTACTCCGAAAATTCCTATTCTTAGTCGCGTGTCGAGCTGTTTGGCTTTTCATTTTTCCCCCTCTTTTCTCTGAAGGAGTTGCTAAATAAGCAATTTCCCAGAAATGGGCTAATTTTAGTGCAGTGCCTGATGCATCCGTGCTCCGAGCGCGATTCCACGCCGGCAGTGGGTGAGATGAGTGTCCTTTTCT